GACACACTTTTGACAACTATGTCACAGAAATATCAGTAATAGCTTTATCTGGTTTCTACAGTTATCAATTTAAAAAATATAATACTAATCTCTCAAACGATTAACAGTCTTATCCTCCAGATCAATGTTATAACAGAAGCTTAAGGGTTCACAATGGGCGCAATTGATTAGCTGACTTCTTTCAAGTCTGTTAGTTCAAAATTAGGGAATGTTATTTGCGGATTGACCTTTGTGTAGCTTGGTAAGAAAATGAATTGCTTTAATAGACTACTTTACATCAAACTTACTAGCTATGGATGAGTTCATTATGGATTGAAACACCATTTTCATGTAGGTGAAATAAGAAATTAACATTGATATGTGGTAGTTAATATTTTCTAGATTTATCTTCCAGTGTATTGTAAAATTAAATTGTTTTACCTGAATGAGCAAATGTTGGAATTTTTCTCATTAAAAATAGGTAAAAACAATGACTGAAATATCAAACTATATTTCATGGCAACATTTTATTCCTATTAAAGGCATTCTATTAACAAAAAAAACACAAGATAATGCATCTGAAACCAAAATTTGATCTGACTATTTTTCATAACTACTTTGTCACACGTGAAAATTGTGCACTTTGAAAAGACCCGTTATCTATGAACAGTATCAAGAATATCTTAAAAATTTATAACTGGTCTACACAGATATACATGTATCTTCAACTAGTTTTCTTTCTTCTTTTAGTGTCATATACAGTTTTAAACACATCAAAATTATTAAGGCAGAAAGGTCTCAACAATCTTTTATTTTATAATCAATACATTATTGAAAAAATTGCACATTCACTTGACAAAACAATACCATATCTCCCAATAAAAACCATTGAGGAAAATGTTTATATTTGTATAAATGATGGTTTCAAGATTAGGTTGGATAAAGTTCTTATTATCAAAATGGAACACAAAGTTTATGACTGTTGAAAATGCTCCTCACCATAATATTACTCTACATATTAGTATATTCAATACAAATTCAATCCTATTTCAATATAAAACTAATGTAATTTAGGGACAACTACCTTAAAACGATTTCTTAATTGTATTTTATCAAGTTTGATACTTAGAATTACAATTTCATCAAGGCTAAGAACAACTAAAAGTACAAGATTCACACTATACACATTTTAATTACAAAGGTTTTCTCTTGAACACCATTTATTACTGATACTGGATAATTTCCAATGTACTTTAAAATAAAATTCTGTTGTTAAAATTTTGCTTGTAATTTAAAAAAATATCTTGTTGGGATATAAGTTACTACTTAATTAAAGTAACAATGGTGTTAGTCAGGATTAGAGTAAACTAATCTACGAGACCTTGGACATGGTTATATACATCAATAGAAAGGGTTTGACCTCCTGAGTCCAAAACTGTAGTTAGATCTCAAATTGGTCAAGAGATGAAGGAGCTATGAGCTAAAAGTTTGTACTTATAAAAACAAAACAAAAACTCAGAGCCATTCTATGAGCCGCTATGTCGCAGCCAACAAATAATAAAACTAATTCAGTCTTAAGCATTAACCCAGTTGTATATTTACTCCATGTTAACTTCAATAATTTCTTAAAGTTTCACACTGTAGAAAGCTGAAAGACAAAGCTTTTCACTGATAGCGTAATGCAGTTATCTTTTATAGAAAAATGGTAAATTGTTTCAGCTGTGTGCAACATTCTTACCACCATCTAGCACAAATTTTGCATAATAAAAATACAATTTTATGGCTCTGAATATTTTATTCATTATAGACATCTTATAAAAAAATACATGTTATTCTGTGGCTGAACAAAAAATAAGTTAAAAATATATTTCTATTTGAAAATTCATTGTTTGCAAGAGATTTACATATATAGTTGAAAATTGTGCTAACATCACAAATATGATTAATCATATAAAATATAATATTTTATTTCTTTACTGTTTTATCTTTAGCATTATAAAATTAATTTAAATTCAATCACAAAACTTCAGCATTTTATTAATAAAAATTAGTTTAACTATTTAATGTTTGGAAAAAAAAAACACATTCCCAGTTGAATCTTTTGTTCTAACAATAAAACTGATAATGTAAGACAGTTCGCAAGAAGAAAATATTTAAAGAATTCTGAAATTCAACCAGCACCTTAACTGATGACAGCAACAGTAGAAAAGTTTTTCAGTGTATGTAAGTATTTCTTTTATTTCTATGCATACTTATTACAAATTTATTTATTAATTGACTTAATATACAATGACATTCTAATCAGTCAGTCATAAGTTTTTATATCTATTGGAATGGAAAATGACAAGTTACAATTTTGGAATTTATACTCTGTATATTTTGTAAAGAATTTATGATATAACCAAATTACATTCAGAAAAACATTCTTAATTCATATTTTTTTGATAATATACAAATAATTTTATTATAATAAACATTCAAACTCAGTACAGCGTAATCTTTATTTATATGGAAAAATTTATGGTAATCCAGAAAAACAGAATTTGAGAATGAAAACATTCTAATCAAAATAACAATAGGAAAAAATAAATATCAAACTTGTAGTTATAAATCTAAATAATATATCTTTTAGTTCAGGATGTTGAAGATTTTTAAGTAAAAATTTGATTTCGGTTTGGCAAGTATTATATCTCATCTTCTGTCCAGGATGATGATAAAATACAAAATTCAGATTAAAATAGAGCAAACACTACATTTTCACAACATTAAGATAATACAGGATGAAAATAATATGGCATATTAATTCTGATTCATGCATCGTGACTATGACTCAACCAGAATGATAAGGTATATTTTATTATTCAAAAGTGACCAACACTCCACCTACACCAGTTAAAACATAGTTATGACAACTCAAGTATATAAACACTGCATCTACAACTTCCAGATTAGTGTTGAAATTAGATAGTTTTATTGAATCATCATGTTATGCTTAATCTCAAGATTCGGTCCATTAACCAAAACACAACAACCATTTCACAATTTAGGATTACACTATTTCATCATTAGCCTATACCTCTCATTTTTCATATACTTTACCAGTTGTGTTAAAAAGTCAAATCAACTACAACCATTTTTTGCTCTGCTGCTCCTAATAATGAACTTTATGTACAAACATGTTTTGTTTATATTTTTCTTTCATTAATTCTTTTTCTACTTCGTATTTCTAGAAAGCATGTTGAAAAAGAAGCTATGCAGGTTTTGGCGTAAAAATGTTAGAGTTTCTTCTGCAGGTCGCGGGTTCGAATCTCTGTTCAACTAAATATGCTGTGAAGAGTAACTCAAGAATTAGCAGTGGTTGGTGATGCCTTCTCTTTCAATGCTAAATTGGGTACGGCAAATGCAGATAGCCCTCGTGTAGCTTTGTACCAAATTCAAACCCTCTCTCCGTATTTCAGATCAAGTGGTTCTTCCTGTTTCCGGCAAAAAGATAGACGCATTCTATTTTTGGCTCGGGAGAAGACATTGGAATGGTTAGAGCCAGAATGTGAGAGAAAAAAAGTGGCAGGTCATGTGGTGATGCCAACAAGACAAGGAAAGTGACAGACAAGTAAAGCTTTATCAGGAAAGAAATCTTTTATGAAGTGGTCTCGAAAGTCCAGCCCCAAAACATTCTAGAGCTGTCTAATAAGTTTTTTAAAATGTGGTAGGTCATCCTTCTATGACAATATTAAATGCTTAATAAGCATATTAAGATTATATTTTTCGGAAACATTGTAATGACATTTGTTTGGCTTTGCAGTTGTAGTACTATGTATATACAGTAGCCTCACAGTATAGAAAAATCATTTTTAACTGTGCTATTTTTTTTCCTCTAAAACTGTATATTCTAAATAACAAAGCAAGAACTTTACTTCAAATTCCCTTGAAGTTTAATGTTTGAGTTACCATTGCAAATGAGGTCACAATCTCACTGAGTTAACTTCCTGCATGAAAAATAATTATATGAATAGTTCTTGCAAAACTCAAAATACCAGTTAAGCAAAGAACAAAAGAGAAAAAAAAAGAGTCACATGCTTTGGTCTTTATATGAAGTGATTTAAACAAATTGCAAAATCTAAAATACAAAAAGGCAAAGAACAAAACAGGAAAGAAGAGACATCTGCTTCATTTTTTATGTGAAGTAATATAGTCCAACAGCAAATGATGCTTGGAGTTATTGCAGTTCATGAACTGAGTTTGAAGACGTCACGTAATCTGCAAATAGCAATGAATTTCAGGGTCTTAAAATTATTTATCAAGTGGAATATAATGTTTTCAAATAAAACATATTTTTTATTGAATGAACATAAAATATTCATTTTGAGCAAAATAATTCGCACAAACACTGAAATTACATTTTATTTCTGTCTTTGATAATTTTGACATGCTCAAATTGCGAAATGGTCATTTTAAGTAATCAATTGAATCCTGAGACTGAGCATAACAATTTACATATTGTAAGATAAGAACTTATGACTGAAAGCAAAGAAGAATATATATGTCATCTACACATTATCTCCCATATCCAGTGTTAATGAAACGTTTTAGCCAATTTCTGGGATCATCAGGCAAGCTAGGATACCAGAGACATAGTAGTGGTATTGGTGTTATTTATATCATTCATTGTATTAACAATAACTGTTATGATATGAACTAGATTATATAAGTGAAGCATAATTATTATCAAAATTATTTTTCATTTGCAAACCAGAATTAGGGTATTAATAATATATTATCATTCATTTATTTTAACATCATTTATTTATTTATTTCATTAATATTTTAACTTTATTATAATACAGAACATTTGTACTTTAAACAACTGGTTTAGGGTGCAAAAAAATAATTTATTAAAGTTCAGATCAGTTTTGTTTTCACTTTACACCCAGAAGAGAAAATACTTGTCTACAAAGTAAAAACAGTTAAGATCACCTACACTTTTGTTTTTAAGCATTTATTTTCAAAAGGTGAAGGAAAATAAAGTGTTTCAAAACATTTACAATGGAAGCCTACAGGAACCATTTGTTAATATATATATGTTGGCTGTAATACACCTTCATGATGATAGGTGAGAAAACATGTATATAACACACATTGGCCTGTTAAGAGCAATTCAAAAGTCACCATGCTTCGAAAATAAGGGGACTACTCCTTGATGATGATGATGATGATCTTCATTGGCACATTTTTCAGAACTAATTCAGAATTTACATCTGTGGTGATGAAGAAGGTCCTGTATCACCTGGGCTTGCATTCATCAAATTATCTATATTATTTGACTGGTTTGGAGCTAGAGGCTTTTTTAGTCTCATCATACGATCTAATTCTGCCACTGCATCATTCCTCACTGATACTTTCTCTGAAATATTTGAATGTCTTTAACATTAGGGTGGAAAATGTTTAACTAGTTAAATATTCAACTAATAAAATAATAATAAAGTTTCCAAATGCAAAAAAATTCAAATATAATTGAGAAAAAAAAAGCATACTGTTGGGTTTGACTAAATTAGCTTACTACAAGTAAAGATAAAAAATTATATTATAAATAAATAATTTTTTTTCACTTACAATTTAGAGAAACTTATTCATTTGGACTTCATTTAGTGACCAGTAAAATATCTTGAGGCAGCAAAGTATAAATGAAAATACACAATATGTATATATAACTAATATTAACTTTTCTTAATGAACATTTCTAAGTAATCAAGTTCTCAAATTAACCAAAAAGAAAGTCCATGAACATGATAGACACATGGAATCTGCTAAATACTCAGCTATGATTGTAAAGAAACAACAGAATTGTTCAAGAATGTTTCCAGTAATAAGTCAAGTGAAAGGTATAGCTGGTAAATATGTGAATTTCACGACTGATTAATCATTGAGCTCCTTAATTGATTTCATTCAACCAATAAATTACACAGGTCTGTGAATTTAAACTTCATAAAAGTTGTTTTGGATTTTCCATAATTCAGCTATGCAGATTTAAAAAATAATATATTTTTTTTTATCATGTAAGGATTTTTTACAAATTGGGAAGAAAAAAACTCTTACTTGGATGAAATTATTATTTCATTTATCACAATGAACATTTTTTATTATTATATTTGTTAACAAAAATACAAACAAACTACAGAAAAGGGAAGAACACTGATGTCAAATAAATGTGCATCCTCATTCATCCTGATTTTTTTGTGTGAAATCTACATCTTTTAGTCTCAAAACTACTTGTTGTGGTTTTTCTTTTATGTATTGCATTATGACATTTTGTGAAAAATATGTACGTGATGG